GCTTGGGTGCACAGTGGAGGATTTTGGAGGATGCAGGAAGGTTTCTAAAGAGGACAATTTCCAAGGGAGTGGGGTGCACACTCACCCGGTGCCCCGTGACACCAGTGCACCAACTCGTTTTCGGCTGGTCTGGTCCTGGCCCCACATTCGTCCAGGGTCATTGGGATGTTCCCCCCATGACTGGCCTGGCACTTCACCAAGAAGTCAACAGAATCACGGATGTCCTTTTCAGCAGAGGGATCTGACTTCACGAAGTCGGGAAAGCCAAGCAGAACCTGCAGTATCCCTGACAGACCATGCGCAGCCCCTAAAAAAGATTAGGTACACAAAACTTTCACATGTAAGATCAACAGATCGTATATTCAAACATTTTTCTGGAAGACAGCCTTGAATGTAAGTGATTTGAACAAGATGGCAAATATAATTAATATTTGTTTCTTGAACCTGGAATTTTGCAGCACATAATTTTCCAACACTTGGAAGGTAACTCATAATGACCCACTAACTTTTCCTTCATTCATAATTGTGAAATTGGATCTATTTATGAGGTTCGTGACAACCTGGGTGGTACTGGAAAGGTTGCTCTGGGCATTTCAGAAAATGTTTTGAAAGATATTTTGGAGAGAACAGGCCGCATACCTAGACATTCAGAATCATAATAGGCATACATCAACGGAGAAGGAGATTGGTGACACTTGGAGTAGCTGCGGCCAGATTCCACAACCACCTTACACAGGGAATTGGTGGTCTCTTGGCTCAGAACCTACAAGCAGAAAACGGTAACCAGGGCAAGGTTGACAAAAACTCGAAGAGGTGTTTGATGTGGCTTTCACTTAATCACTTGGAACAGGTGTACAAATCTGTGGGCTTCTTGGTGCATTGAGAAGGTAAAGGAACGGCATCAACTACCAGTTCTGAGAGAATGGGAGCTAGCTCCATTACACAATGTCCAGTTTGGGCCCGTCATGGCTGGGCAACCTGGGGTTGTTTGACTTCAGTTCATAGATTCAACAGCGTTTCACTGGACACTCCCAAGGGCAGATTCGGGGAGGGAAGGGGGACCAATAGGGCCATGGCCATGAAACAATGCTTCCATATAAAAGTTATCACAATGCTTACTGCCATCAGTGGGGGCCACGCAAATGTGACTGCATTATCACGATCACTTGATTTGTCTTGAAATGCTGCAAGAGCTTATCTTCACATCTTTCTGTCAACTGGATTCACCTGTTTGTCAAGTTTCTGGGCCAGCAGCTGAACCCCACACAAGTAGCCTGCTCTGCCAACCAGCAGCTCGTCAGACCCACAGGGTCCAAGGAAGTTCATTGGGGTACAAATCTGGGCAAAACTGGCATAACTGTAATACAAAAAACCACAGTTTTTCTGCTTTTTTTTATTCATCCATTACAAAGAATTCTCTTTCTGAGTGTAATTTACCTTTCTAAATCCCTTATTGTTCAACACAATTGCTGAGCTGGGACCTTCTCACCATTGTGCCATTTGCAGATTCAACGAGTGAAGCTACGTCCCGCCCACGTATAGCTAGCTAATTTTGTTAAATATTGGGATCTCCTCAACATTGAGGAGACATCGGATGTCACTACAGTAGTTCTCCTCCACTTGATGATAATGAGGACTTTTCTCAACTCTCGAGACTTTTTCATCATTCAACATGGTACTGCTTCCATCTGAGGAAATTCTGATGAAACTGACAATCACATGCAAGGACAGCGGAAAAATACAATACTTTTCTTTTCCTTTCACGAAAGAGTTCCGTAGGCCTTATATAAATATCGCTCATTTTCCGCTGCAGTTATTTCATCAGAAATCAATAACATGTCCTTTATAGTAAGAAGCTAATTAAAAGCCAAATTGAACTGGAAAATATTAAAGCATTAAGGCTACTTAGAAAACACTTTGAATTTTTCAAACCAGGTTTGTGTATGGAGCTCTTCCCATCTTTTATATTAAACTTATCAAATAAACATATTATTAAACTTATCAAATCTGAAATGCCAATACCTTTCAAGGAACTGTGCAGCTGCATGACTGCTACTTCCCTCGGACTGTGAAGACGAAGTGTGGTAGAACACTGCCCCGACGGCATCAACTCCGCACGCCCCACAAAGAAACGACGCCCCTGCCTCCCTCTTAATCTTGTTGCTCTTCTCGTACTCTACCGACCCCACCAGGTACTGCTTGCACAGGCCCTGGTACCGCAGCGCCTCCTTGGGGAACTGGCCAGTCTGAGTGATGTACCACAGGGCGTAGGCGATGCCCGCCGCGCCCAAGTACAGGCCCCATTTGCAATTTTGCAGGTGGCCGGGCTGCACGTGCTGTTCTATGGCCTCCACTATGGACGCGACCCGCTCCCGGAGCTGGGCGTGCGGGATGTCCACCGGCGACCCAGCGGTGTAATCGGGCAGACGGTTCGTGAAATACCTCATCAAGCTTGTGGTAAAATATATGATAATCTGGAGAATCTATTTCAAAAGTCTTCAAAAGGTGAAAAATCTCCACAATACACACTGCGTACGCAACAGTGACACAGGTAAGGGTGCTTGTGACCCCTGAAAATGGGTTTTGGTGCAGTACTTTCAGAACAAAACACGATTGAAATTGAACGTGCGGCATGCGCACCAAAAATACGGTACAGCACGACGCAGGAGGCCCGTAGTCAGTGGAAACCTCAGTAATGTAGCTCCCTAATCTACCACATAAGTATCTTTTCGTGTAAAATTTAAGTCAAACTTGGAAAAAACGTTTGAAACTATTTGAGATGACGGACTATTGAGAAATGGCTAACCCGCAATGGAACGAAACCGACATTTGAAGAAAGGTCCCATGCGGAAAGACGGATGGAGGGCGCTCGATAAAATTAATGTTGGTCGCGCCGCGCCGGTGTTAACGGTAAAATGTGCCCCCGACACTTTTACCGGATCACTGCCCAGTGAAAGTGTCCGTGGATACACATTTATCTAGGTGAATGTGTTCCCCTCCAGGTAATTTTGTCCCCCTGCAGGGATAAATTTGTCCCCCCTGAGAATTGTGGCCCCCGTGCAATAACGAATTTTGCCAGCTAAAAAAAGAAAAAGAAAATCTAGGAAAAAACGAGCAAAAATGGAACAAAACAAACATCAATTACGCATGTACAATGAAGATAGAATTTCGGGTTTTCATACCATTATTCTGTGCAATTTTTGCCATCTTCACAACAATCACATTTTCATTAATCCTCCAATTATTCACTAGCCCTTTAAGCCCAGTTTATACACTGTTCAGAAACGCACCTTTTTAAACAAAATTCTTCAATCCAAGACACAAAATTGCTCTAAAAGAACACGGGAAATTTCTTTATTTGTTGATTTGCTTGAAATCAATATTAACTAAGACATTAATGTCTCTCACTCAGATGACATGATTCTCAAATATTGTTAACAAGGATAATAGGGTGTGATAACAAAGGGACTGTGGATTGGCTCCTGAAACACTTTTAGCAAAGTCTAAACACAGGTAGGAACTAGCATATTTTGTTTTGTTCGTATCATGAGACTTAACTCGAATTTGCCTGGTTGGCATATATTTCCGTGTTAATTTTACTTCAAAAACAATGCAAGATAAACCACAGAGCATGTCCCTCATTATTAACCAAACAGCGCCCTCTTAAGGGTAGGAACAGACCAAGCAGAGATACAGGCAGAATTAATACTGGCTTTCATTGCTTTAAGCTATCTACAAAAAAATACAACTCTATGAGTTTCTGTAAAAAAATCCACTGTGACAAATCTTCACATTTATAGTGAATGCGAACGAGTACCTTACAGTTTGGTTGTCTAACTCTTAC